ATTACTTACTTAATTTTAATGACATTTATCATTTGTATACAAGATTTGATATCAACAGTCGGCGCCAAGTTAAATTCTACCAAATTAAAAAGTAAAACACAAGTGGTACCTTTAATCTTTAAGTGAACCCATATAGTACTATTATTTAAATTCTACTAAATTAAAAAGTAAAACCCATGTGGTTCTATCTTTATCTTCATACAATGAAACCTAAGTATATGCCTTTGTATTCTTATTAAAAGATCTTCCTATTCGAAACCAAGTGACTTAAATTCTTTTTTAAAAAAATTATATCACAATTAATTTAAAAAGAAAATGAAAAAAATATATTTAAATAGAAAAATTTTTTATGTAAAAACACTATGTAAAATTAGCTTTGCCCGCACGACGACTGGACCTACTAGATCGAGGGGATCATAAAGTTTGGAAGTATCGGACAAGATGGCTCACTTGGAAATTATCGCGGAGTTGTCCCCGGGGTTGTAAGAGAAACTGAATGCATCGCTAGAGTGCATCTAATGAATGCCCAAGATGGACGATTCCGAGTTATTGGGGATTGCAACCGGTGTGTTATTTTGATCCTTGATTCCCGTCAATAATTCGGGAGCGCTGGATGCTCATTTTCCAAGCTCGAAGCCACCACAACGTAATACCTTAATTGCTTCGTCGCGTATTATTAATGCCTCGTCTATCGTGTCGGCTCCCGTGAGCATGTCGTCAACATAGAAGTCGCGCTCGACACATTTGGAGCCATTAGGCCAATCGCCAGCGTAATGCTCGGATAACCATGTGAGGCATCGCGTGGCCAAAAACGACGCGGAAGAGGTACCGTATGTTACGGTGGAAAGCTCGTATGTTGCCACTGTAGAAGTGAAATCATCTCGCCAAAGAATGCGCTGATAGCGTGTTTGTGACGGATGCACTAGAATTTGGCGATACATTTTAACGATATCGGCCGAAAATGCGAAACGATGTGTACGAAATCGCAACAGTATAGTAAATAGATCTTGCTGTACGGTAGGACCGACCATAAGCGTGTCGTTCAATGATATGCCAGCCGCGTCCTTGGCGGAGGCGTCGAAGACAACGCGAAATTTATTGGCGGCGGGCGCCTTAACGATGCAATGATGCGGTAAGTAGAAGGACTTTGGATCCTCGGGGGGGTCGGAAATTAATTTCATATGACCTAGTGTATTGTATTCATTTATGAATTGCGAATATCGCGTTTTTAATTCCGAGTCGCGGCTAAGACGCCTTTCAATGCCACCGAGGCGTTTTAAGGCGATCTCCCTAGAGTTAACGAAAGCGTCAGGCTCGGACTCTTTAAAGGGAAGTTTGACAATGAATTTGCCTTGATCGGTTCGAGTCATGTTTTCTAAAAAATGTCGCTCACAGTGAGCTTCCTCTGAGGTATAATGATTGGAAACCGCCGAGATGTTCTCTACGTCCCAAAAACGAGATAATTGCTCGTGCAACTGCTTGTTGCTTATTGAAGCATGAAGAGAGTGCACATGTGAAGCTGCTTTCGGTGCAGTGTGCAATCGACCCGCCAATATCCACCCGAAGCGTGTCTTCTGTAAGGTAGGATGTGAGGGCGTTGCCTTGATTTGACCGATACAGAGCAAGCTCCAAAAATGTTCCGCGCCGATTAAAACGTCTATCTCAGACGAGACGTGGAACTGCGGATCGGCTAATTCGAGATTAGCCGGTATTTCGAAGGCATTTCTTTTAAGCGTGAAAGCCGGAAGTTTGCCGGTTACATGTTCGGTAACAATGCAATCGACTAGAATGCTGAATGAACTCGTGCGCGAGTGCAGCCGTATTTCAGCCGCTTGGAAAGCTCGCGTGGTAACATTATTTATTCCCGAAATTGAAATGTCCGAGGAACGTGTTTTAATATCGAGAGCGTCTGCGAGGTGCCGCGAGATAAAGTTAATCTGAGAGCCCGAATCTAATAAGACACGGCATGCTCTGCGACAACCGTTTGCGTCGTAAACATAAGCGAGAACGGTCGAGAGCATGACGTCGCTGCGATCCGGAGTCGCGAGACCGCTCATGACAACGGGAGCAGGAGAGGTGGCTAGAGCCGGCGCGTCTACTGATCCACGATCACCTGATTCGGAGATGTCGGACTTGACCGACGTGGCAGCAGCAAGGTGAAGCAACGTGTTATGCTTGGCCTTGCAAATTTTGCAATTGCCAGAAGGGCATTTATTTGATGTATGATCCACCGATCGTAAACAGTTAATACAAATTTTGCGCTTTTTGATTTCCGCAATCCTTTGCGGAACGGGTAATGCTATGAGCTTTTCGCAATGATAGATGAGATGCTCGCCCTTACAAAAGGAGAATTTTATTTTTATAGAGGCAACACAAGATTGCTGCTTCGCGCTCGATTGCGACTGCGACCGCGTGTTTACATTCTTGGATCTACTGGGCTGCGTTCCAAAACTTTACTCGATTAACTCTATAGAACTCCGTTTAGTGGGGGGCAGAGTAAGTCAGAGTTAGCTACTATATTGGAATATTTTGGAACAGGTTAGAGTAACGTACATGTGGCGGCATATACAATTGTACTAAAGATAATTTATTTGTAAATTATTCATGTTGACATTCTTTGTGGTACTGTTTAATAGATTACGATCCATGAATTTGTACCTAAGTATAAAGATAAAAAAGATTGTCGGTTTTTTTAATAGAGTCATAAACGTAATTCGTAGTATAATTAAGGTGACGCAAACTATTTTTTTGTGTTGATTTACGGTTATGACTTATATAAACGATTTTTTGTCAGAGAGTAACATCTTTGTGTTCAGATCCAAAATCCTATACTGATCAAAATAGAGCCATTAAACATGATTATTAAAATATTATCCAATTTATAACCTCTGCAATCTGATACAACACTGATACTGCGATCTAATATATTCTATCAGATAGCAGAGGTTATAGATCATTGGGTTAATATTTTAATAATTATGTTTATCAGTTTATTTTGATCTGTATATGATTTTGAGCCTAAGCACAAAGATGTTGTAACTCTCCGACAGAATCGTTTATATAAGTAATAATCGTAAGAATTTATTTCGAAAATCCATATATGTATTAAATAAATTCTTACGATTATTACGATCTTCCAAATGCTAATTGGAATTATAATTATTCTCTAGATTTTTATTGTTTTGTAAAAGAAATGGAATAATTCCGCTCGTAATCCATTCCAAATAATTTCGTAATACGTATCCAGTTTATACTTCTTCTAAAATGGCGCGTTTTCCCTCAGAGTTAACTCTTCAACCTACCTCAGTAGCAAGGTTGGAAGAGTTGACTCCGTGTACATTGACTACGAGTTTTCGAACGAACAGACTCCGCCCATATAGTACTTTACGCAGTGTTTCGGAACGACCATGAGTTAACTCTCTTACTCAGAGTAAGGTTTTGGAACGCAGCCCTGCTTGTCTCAAGAGTTATACACCGATGAGCAAAATCCGTAAATTGTTTGAGTGTAGGCAGAGCGGGGCCTACCAATGACAATTGCCACTCTCGCGATGTGAGCGCGTCGAGCTTATTGCTTAAAATATAAACAAGTAAATCGTCCCACTGCGCTGTGGGGCGTTTTAACGCCTGAAGGGCGTGAATATGTCGAGTAGCACCATCCGTGATCTGACGCAATTCAGCGACGTTTTCTTTCGCCATGGTTGGCAAATCTAAAATAGCTTGTATATGACTCTGCACAATAGCGCGTTTGTTATCGTATCGTTCCTTCAAAAGGTCCCATGCTACTTGATAGTTTGTGTCGGAAATTTCCAGCGCGCTAATTACTTTGAATGCATCTCCGGTGAGAGAAGCTCTTAAATACTGCAACCTTTGAACAGGACTTAACGACGCGTTTTCATGTATAAGAGAATTAAAACTGTCGAAGAACGGGCACCACTCGTCATATTTCCCGGAAAATTTCGGTAATTCTAATTTCGGTAGCCTTATGTGGCCGAAAGACTCGCGGCTGACGACACTAGAAGACCACCGTGACGGAGAGGCCGCGACGCGTTGTGCAGTCGCGGGATAGAGCAATTCGCGTATTTGAGCACATAAAGCATAATGAAAGTCTTCGAAGGGAGCGCGATGTGCTTCTTCGGATTCGTCGATTAATTCTAAGTTTGTTTGAACGCTATCATAATCTGTCCAGTACCTGTCGAGTTTAGCACATCGCTCTCCGAGTTGAGCCGCGATTGACGGCGTAACGGACGCGATAGCTTCCGTAAATGTACATATGCGCGTGCACGCGGCGATAATCATTTTGCGCCTGCGCTGGAGCGACGCGGCGTCCTCGTTGTCAACTTTCGGCATGACGAACGCAGAACGATAAATAAACCCGTTAAAATTGACTTGATTACTGGCACCGGCACTGAGATAGTTGCTTTCACCTAACAAAATTGAATGCGTGTGTCGCACTATGATGGATGCGTCGATGATGCGCCAGATGATGCGTTGAAGATGTCCTCCCATAGAGCGATGAAGACTGCCGAAGACCGCGTGACGTCACAGGATGATGCCTGTTGCTCCGATCGCGTGGCAATGGCTGCTCTGCGCTGCTGGGCCGGATGTGCCTTGACGTCGCGAGAAACGACTGATGTACCTCGATGCACCGAGAGCTATGTTTGCGAGCCTCGGTATGTCGTGGTGAAAAGGTTATAGGCTGAAGAGCAGCTAACCTTGCGTGTCTCAAATCCCCGATGAGAATTTGCGTGCTCGGCAGATTGCTAATGGCGGACCTCGAGTGCTCGTCTCACTGGCGATGGCGGGCCCCAGCGCACAGTGGCGCGCCAGGTGATTTTTTTCTTCAAAAACGATTTCCTCTACAACGGCTCGACCGATTTAGATAAAACAAATACGAGCTTAAAGAGGACAAAATTTCCAAAAAAACTATGCAGGCCGATTTTTAAATTTTTTCGCCATATTTAATTATTATTTAAACAAAAGAATGGAATATTTCGTGGAACCATTAAACTATTGAAACATATCATTTTCTTTACATGTAAAACAGATTAAATTTTCTACTCGGGGGTTTTCGAGGTCACTGATTACGAATCCGATCTTATATTTTCATAATTCAAAATGGCGGATCCAAAATGGCCGACCGAAATGTAAAAAGTTAGTTGATCGAGATGAAACTGGGCACTCGGGGGTTTTCGGGGTCACTGATTACGAATCTGATCTTAGATTTTTAAATTAAAAAACGACTGATTCTATATGGTGGACATAAATGTTAAAATTTCATAGTTCACGGCTGCAACGGGAGTATGAAATTATACAAATTGCGTGAGCGCATCTATCGGCGAAGTGCTAAGTCAGAGTTGACACCATCCGATCCGCGAGTGTAGCTACTCTTCGCCGATAGATGCGCTCACGCAATTTGTGTAATTTCATACTCCCGTTATAGAAATGAAATTCCGTTTAGTATATACACAGATGATTATTTAGTTCTCCTTACAAACGATATTATTCTTATTTCTGAACGTGCGGAATAGTACATTATGTACCAATGAATTTTCAATGCTTCTTGCATGCTGTGATTGCTTCTTGTACGCTTCCCGGTATTCATGCGTAAATGGGGTGTTTACATACCACGCACTGTGTTTACGGACAAAAAGTCGAGCTTGCCGTCTCTTTCTTTTACACGTTTTTATATTGCGCGGCCTAAGCCTTACATTTAGTATTTCGCGGTCCGCGCGCGGTCTCTATACGGGACGCGAAAATTCATTTCGCGGCCTGATGACTAAAAAAATATTTCTCATGTTATTTGGTACCCGATATTTTTATATCTGATGGTCAGCTGTATGCTTATTAGAATATAAATCTTACAGTACCTGTTTATACTTTATTTTAAATCAAAAGTAATAAATTTTGGGTAGCTGATATGGAAACATTTAATGTCACAAATCAATCGCTCTGCGATATTTTCATTGACAATAAATGTCAAAACCTAAGTGATTTAATGGTAAAGTTGAAAGAGATTCACGAATTAAATGACGATCAAGTGAATGCTATTTCAAACACATTAAATATAAACGGATTTGTTACAAATGTGAAGAAAAAATTAAAAAATGTGTTTTTCTCCAAAAGTAGGTTTGATCATGTACACGAGAATTGGTTGAAAAAATCATTAACAGTTACTATTGGTGATCCGACTATTGATATCGGTGAAAGAGGTAGACGGACAAGATCATTCGAATCTTCTTCTGACGCAACGAAAAGAAGGAAAATGACATCTCTTCTGGAAACATATTCAGCGGTACAATTGCAAGAAACTTTTCTTTTTATGTTGAGGCAGAATGGTAGGAAGAAAGTAGCTAATGCCATTGAATATATGCTTAACGCTGATTCCGAGGATATTGAAAGTTGCCTTCGTTCATATCTAAAAATACAGGAACAAGTACCGTATAGTAACGAAGAAATCGTTGCTTTCGCCGAAGACACTGATTTAATGAAGCACCAGTATACGATTTTACGAAAACAAGCTTTAGAAAAAAATGTAATAATATATCCATCGTACAGGCAGTTAGTAAATGCAAGGAAAGCATGCATCCCATCTGACATTCATGTGTCAGACGTGTGTGCCAAAGTAAATTTGCAGTCCCTTGTCGATCACACTATCAGTAGAATCTTGATAACTGAAAACTTACCTGTTGATACTCTCAATAACAGTGACAAATTCAGACTTTTTGTAAAATGGGGTTGTGACGGCTCATCCGGGCAAAGCATATACAAACAGAATTTTGAGAAACCTGAACTCTCGGATGAGAGCGTTTTCACCATTACCTTCGTCCCATTGTTGATGACCGATGAAAAAGACAAAAATCTGATCGTATGGCAAAATCCTACACCATCATCAACAGTTTATTGTCGACCCATAAAATTTGAGTTCTGCAAAGAAAATAAAGAAAGAATCTTGGCCGAAGTTGATGAAATAAATTCTGATATCGCAAAACTGCAATCTACGGTAATTAAGTTAAATGAACGAGAAATTACAATAGTAACTGACTTTGAGTTGACAATGGTTGATGGGAAAGTCTGTCAAGCACTGACAGATACTAAAGCTTCAGTAACGTGCTACATATGCGGTGCAAATCCGATCGATATGAATAATATAGAGAGCTTAAAAAATAGACCGGAAAATTTACATTGTACGAGATTCGGTTTGTCATCCCTGCACGCATTGATCAGGTTTATGGAATGTCTTTTGCACATTGCCTATCGCCTTGATTTTTGTAGGTGGAGAGTCTGCTCTAAGGAACATACTGAATTAATGAAAGTTCAGAAAAAACGTATATTTCAAGAACTAAAATCAAAATTGAACCTTATTGTAGACGTCCCAAAGCAAGGGTCGGGGAATTCAAATGACGGTAACACGGCACGTAGATTCTTTCAAGATCCTCAATGTATTTCGCAAATACTGCGAGTTGATGAAACACTTATTAGGAGATTTAGCATTATTTTGCAAACGCTTTGTTGTTGTCAACCTGTTGACTACGAAAAATTTTCGGTTTACCTCCGTGACACAGCTAAGCAGTATGTAGCATTGTACCCGTGGTTTCCAATGCCTGTAACTATACGTAAAATCTTGTTTCATGGTTCCACAATAATAAAAAATTTTCACCTTCCCATTGGTGCATACTCAGAAGAGGCATCGGAAGCTAGAAATAAACATTTTAAGAGATTCCGATTAAACCATTTCCGAAAGTGTTCGCGTGAAAGTACAAATGTAGATTTAATTAAAAAACTTCTTGTATCGTCCGATCCGTATATTGCTACTAAAAGAAATCTGTCAAAGACTGTTAAACAAGACTTGCATCCTGAATGTCTCGAATTACTGGATGATAGCAACTTGTAAAAATAAGTAACCGAAATGTATATATTTCGTGCAAAATGCTGGCCATTACTGTAAATATTAAAAAGTACACATATGTAAATATAATGTATATCGAATGTATAAATGTATATATATCGAAGTAACATAAAAATCTTAATAAATGTAATCAAATTATGTTACTCAGAAATAGATCCCGCCTAATGGCGACATGATATGCAAAATCCATTCGTCAACCTCCCCGCGGTGCATATCGGGTAATGCTAATGTCGATGGTAATTTTATTGTAGCAACACTTCATCCTTTGATATATACGAAAATTATATGTAATTAGTAATGGTACGTTTTTAACGTGTACAATAACCACAACGAAAGTTCGCTGAATTTGAATTCAGAAATTTTATATACAATATGGCGAATATTCTAATACGATTACTTATATGAGTATATTTACTTTAGTTTCCAATTGTTTATGCATCTCATTTGTAAATTTTGTAGAGCAACTTCGGAAGTAAATTTGTTATTTGGAAAATTTGGTATTAAACGAGATTCTGAGCTTTTGCAGCCGTGAACTATGAAATTTTAACATTTATGTCCACCATATAGAATCAGTCGTTTTTTAATTTAAAAATTTAAGATCAGATTCGTAATCAGTGACCCCGAAAACCCCCGAGTGCCCAGTTTCATCTCGATCAACTAACTTTTTACATTTCGGTCGGCCATTTTGGATCCGCCATTTTGAATTATGAAAATATAAGATCGGATTCGTAATCAGTGACCTCGAAAACCCCCGAGTAGAAAATTTAATCTGTTTTACATGTAAAGAAAATGATATGTTTCAATAGTTTAATGGTTCCACGAAATATTCCATTCTTTTGTTTAAATAATAATTAAATATGGCGAAAAAATTTAAAAATCGGCCTGCATAGTTTTTTTGGAAATTTTGTCCTCTTTAAGCTCGTATTTGTTTTATCTAAATCGGTCGAGCCGTTGTTGAGGAAATCGTTTTTGAAGAAAAAAATCACCTGGCGCGCCACTGTGCAGCGGTTGCTCCGCAATATCAGTGGCAAATGGTTACCGCTGAATCCGGCTCGAAGGACCAATTTGTTTCGTGTGAGATGGCCGTGCCTCGCGTTGTAATGTTGCGAAGGCTGGCCCCACGCGTTTTCCCGGAGTGAATCCTCTCGGGAAACGTGGTCGAAGAATATGTATTCCTCTGCAGTTGAGGACGCTGTTGCCAACAACGGATTTGCGGCCACTGACTATCGGTGGAGCCGCGGAGGGATCTCCCAAAATGATGCAAAGGCACTTAGAAAGTAAATACTTGACTTTATCAACTGCACGAGCACGCACGGTGATACAGGGATCGATAGCTCTTTAGAGAGCGTAACGGTAACAATTAAATTATCGCCATCGACGATTACAATGGTAATAATAAGAAGGATCCAGAAGGATCGCAATCGAAACGGTAACGAACGGATCGCGCAGGACTCGCACGGAGAGAGGGAACGAACCGCGGGCGAAGATAACCGAAGAGTCGCAAGCGCGTCGCGAACGATAAGAAAGTGCCAGAGCAGTGTCCAGTCACGCTATTGGTCTAAAGATAACGCACGCGATCGTTGAATGTGACACGCGCCAA